TCGCGTATTCCATATCCCGAAATTGAGCGACCAAGACATCACCCTTAACATTTTCCAAACTCTCCTCCACAAAGTCCAGTCTTTGTTCGCTTGCTTCAGCCCTCTGTTCATTTTCCTCCACCCTTTCTGCCACTCCATCCACGTATTCAGCCAAACCTTGGAAAGCGGTTGTCACATTCAAACGAAAGCCCTCATGTTTCTGTAGTAATTCTTGTTGTTGATGTATTAATTGGTCAATCTTATTTTCAATTTTAGAATCCATTTTTTGGAACATCTCTGTCATTTGGATCATAAAATCCTGTAATTCTTTGCCAGAGGGCGGTGGGGGTGAAGAAGATGGCGGGGGTGGCGGGTGGGAAACCGGCTTAGAAATTGGTTGGAGCGGCTGGGAAGTCGGGGATGTAATTTTTGAAGTTGTAGGCACCAATCTTCTCGAAGCCATGTTAGCAGTTAAAAATTTCAATCTATATGAGAGTCTTTTAAACAATTAATCCAGGACAAATAGTGAAAGTATAAAAAGTAACAAAAGTTCCAAACCGGAAATCCAAATCACTTTCACTTCTTGTTGCTAGAAAGTATCATTCATCGCCATTTTAAGTTCACTTTCACACAATCCAACCCAAGTATAGGGAAGATCAAAATAANAGTTCTAACCTACATCGTCCACATCGGACGACTCGGGAACTCAACTCCTACCCCGGGCAGCTCACCGATCCCCTTATGCCCGGGGGAAAGGTATCAAGCCGTTTGACAGCTAATGCTCGCTGTCAAAACGGCTTTTACGCGAAACAGGCGGGAGGCAGCTACAGCTGCGTCCGACGAGGTCGCCTGCTCACCGGAAGTCTCATATTTAAATCTATTTTCATGTCTTAAAAAGTAAGTAAGAAAAAGACACAAAAGAAAAACAGAAAAGACAAGAAAGAGGAAAAAAGGGAGAGAAAAATAAGAAAATAATATACTGCTTAAAATACATATCCCTCTTGAGCTAATATACATTTATTTCCATTTTTTTCTGTTCTTTTTACCCATAATTAAACCTATGTTTAATAAAATGTTCCATTTAATAAATCCAATCATCTAAACTTTTAACTCTATTCAAAACATTTTTCCCATTTTTAGTTATCCATTGGAATTTTCTTAAAATCAATTACATTTAAATATCTAAAACATTTCCTTTATATTGATCATCCCAAACATTTTTCTATTTCTCATATCAAAAAAGGAAAGAAAAAATACTGTCTTACTTGGACAGTTCATCCCTCTTAAACTAAAATCTATTTTTTCAACCATATTCAAACAAGTGTTTAATTTTTAAATATTCCCTCTGATACACCCCATCATCTAATTCCTCAATTCTCATTTTAGCCCTCTTTTGCCAAGCATCTTTCCCAAGCAATATATTCCGTTGAATCAAAGAGTCTTTCCATAATCTTGTAAATGTTGTGGATATAGTAGGCAAATCAAACATGTCTTTGTAAAAAGATTTTGTCCCTTCATATTCAGTGAAGATTTCATCATCACTTGTCTCCCCATTTCTTGTACTCCCGACAGCTCAGCAATCCATTTTGTCAAATCTTTTTCCTTATCTTCACATTTACTTTGTGGTCTTAGAGTACAATTTATCTTTTCCATGTTCAATGTTTCTTGTAAGTCCTCCACTTGAGTCTCCACTAGTTTATATTCAGTTGTCTGCTTTACATGATCTCTCTTTTTTTGTTTTCTGATCATTTAATTGTTGTGACGTTAAATTGAGAATGCATTCATTTAAATTTTCAAATTCATTTTTAATTTATGGTTTGAAATTAATATAATTTACATTTGTTGTAACAACATACATTTCCTCCTGGTAAGTATTTATTTTTTCTTGGTATGTTCTTTCTGCAGATCTCTGATGCTCCATAATGACCACTTTAAAGTCACAATTTAAAAAATATTTATAATCCAGGAAGGTCAATTTTTTTCTTTTATAGTTCTCACTTTGTAGATAGTCCACAATGTTTTCTTTTGTTACAACTGCTCTTTGTTTAATCAAAGCCCTGAAGGTCACAACAGGCTTTTCTTTCTGGGCTGTATATTTAGGGTAGTATTTTCATCTACCATTAGATATCAGTACTAGTCCATCTTTCAATTTTCTGTATTCCCCCCCCTAAACTTAATTCGCCGCTTCCGTTTAGAGGAGGGTGGAGCAAAGAACACACACACCCCTCACTTTCAGAGGATTTTTACTTCTGGGTTTTTTTCTTTTTTTCAGGAAATCAGTCAAGTAGAAGAGAGAGAATCAATATTTTTATCCAGTTCACTCATGCTGTTTACAATCATGCTTAATTTAGTGCTTTTTGGCTTTGGCTGCATGTAGCTTGGGCTAGAGTCACGAATGACACTAGCCTGCCTACTGTCGGTTTTTGGAGAGCTTTCCCCAGATGTCGGGATCGACCACTGTCTCCCCAGGATCAGCGAGGCTTCCCTGCTTCCTTGCCACCTCTTTGGGGTGGCTTTGGGCCCATTCAGGGTCCCCAGAGAAATCAGCCGTAGGGCACAGATCTTCGCAATCTTTTGGCTGTTGCTCTAGCTGTGCAGAACCAGAAGCCCCAAGGTCTGCAGTCTTGTTTCTGACATCCTTGGACAACTCTGGTCTTGGCCATTGTGGAGAGTTTGGAATCTGATTGATTGCTTCTGTGGACAGATGTCTTTTATACAGGTAATAAACTGAGATTAGGAGCATTCTCTTAAAGGGAGTGCTCCTAATCTCAGCTTGTTACCTGTATAAAAGACACCTGGGAGCCAGAAATCTTGATTGATAGGAGATCAAATACTTATTTCACTCATTAAAATGCAAATCAATTTATAACTTGTTTGAAATGTGTTTTTCTGGATTTTTTTTGTTCTTCTGCCTCCCACTGTTAAAATAAACCTACCATTACAATTATAGACTGATTATTTGTCAGTGGGGAAACGTACAAAATCAGCAGGGGATCAAATAATTTTTCCCCTCACTAAATGATTACAAAGTAAACAGCTGCTGCATTAGGCACAGCCTTGTACTTGATTCTCTTCCTGCCCAAAATAGAGACATCTCAATAGAATCAGTTAATAAATGGACCAATACTATAAGTCAAATAAATCCTTTTACCTATATTATTGTGTTTTTGTCTACCTACTAGTTTTAAATAAACTCCCGAGAAGCAGGTCCTTTTATTTGCAAATGTCTTGGATTTTTTGCTGTATTTATCAGTAGGCTACCTAGGTTCTGTAAAGCAAGGCTCCCCAATCCCTGGTCCATGGAATGCAGGCAACACATGAAACCACGCCCCCTCCAGTCCACAAAAAAAAACCCTACAGAACTGGTCCCTGGTCCCCAAAAGGTTGGGGGTCACTGCTGTAAAGGATTAGGAATCAAATGTTTAAGGTTGTTTTGTGCAAGGAATTTATTTTTTAACTATATTATGATTTTGCAGGGTATTTCCTTGTTTCCCAGCCTTTAGTTTTTCAGAGATCTAGAGAAAATATTGGTGGAAATAAGCCATTTCTGCCTTTGTATAAAAATGAAATTTTTCAAAACTTAAGTTTACTGACCAAAGGATACTTTTATAAATAATCTAATAAGTATATTGCAAAATAAATGTTTCTGCTACATTTTTATATTATATGAAGGGGATGGGGTTCTCATTAAGATGTTCCTTAATCTGTTATAGAACACTATACAGTAAGTATATCACCAATTTAGGCACCATTGATCTATGCATACCCAGCATTGATCAATAAGACACAGCCCCCATGAACTAATTAAGTCAAAATGATTGCCATTTGATGATGCCTTGAAAGTGTCTTCTGGAAATAGAATTGAATGTGTTTTTGAACATCCGTTTTCAGAAGACAATTGGCTATAAAAAATACCTGGGAGATGAAATAGAAGTATCCTGAATTACATTAGTTTTTTCTGACAAGACTTGAAAGTGTCAAAATATGTTGAACTGAATATTTATTAGATATCAAAACATCTATTTTTGTTGTACAAAACTGATTATTAAAACTTTACAGTATCCTGTTCTAATTTATGAGGTGTAAGGCTTAATTATTAGTTGTTATTATACCATTAGAACTTATTACTGCTTGTGTATCTTTAAAACAATCTTTTATTCTAAGTTATTGAAGGAGTGCCTTAAAATAAATGTTTTTGCCCAAAAAAATAGCATGAATTTCTCCCATTATATTTATAAATATCCTTTTTTATTTTTTGTGAAGTTTTAGTATGAACTATAATAATTCAGTAGGAGACTCCTGAAAAACTATAAAACTATTATAGGTTTAACTAACCATTTTGCACAGTAAATGATAGGCTAATAAATCGCTTTCAAAATGCCACTTCTCAATCAGAGGCAAATACAGTATTTCACATTAGCAAGATCACTGCCATGATCTATTATCGACAGCCACTATTTCCCGATGCATAGTTAAATTCACAGTATTCTCAGCAATTTTATATTGACTGGGAAATCCTAGGAGTTTAATGTGCCATTGATCTTAAACTTGTTCAAAACAATCCTAGTTAAGCACTTGATTGAATCAAACATATACTTCAACAAAAAACTTAAAGAGCAATCTACTCATAGCTTTTAGTAGCATTTTGAAAAAGAAGCGTCTTTTAAAAGGAGATGTTCTAAAGCAGGGGTGTCAAACTGCCGGCCGGATGCATCATAGCAAAACCGCGCCCACCCCATTGCCAGCAATGGAAAAAAAGCTGCAACACGTCTCGTGACATTGCGAGTTTGACACCCCTGTTCTAAAGCTCCATAGCAGCCTGTTACCTTTGCAAGAATGATTCTTGGGTCCGGAGTTTATCATTTTTAGTGGGTGATCCGTTAATTGGCAATATGTAAGCTCTCAACTTTTTCTAATTTATTTTTTAAAAAACTGATTAAAAATAAAAATTAGCTGGGACACAGATGACAATAACAATATTTTGCTAGGTAGGTTGACACCCATCTAGAGTTTCAGGTTTAACATCAGGTTAAATTTACTTAAAGTTCAAATTAGTTCAGGTTGTTCTATCAACAAAAGCTTCAACAGAAAGGCATTAATTAATAAAGCACAAATATTTTAATTGCAAGCAACAAAAAACTATACAGAATTTTTTTCACAATAATCAAATAAAAAAAATCTTCCAAATCAGTCTTATTTGGACATCTTTGTTTCTGAAGGATTTTCACCAGTGTCGAGTGTCTTCAGCAATCGAAAAAGTCCAGCTGCTTCTCTTATCCTGCTGAATTCAATACAAAAGGCTTGTACCTCTATAAATAAGTCCTGTACATTAATTATTTTGTTTCGAATCAAGGATTGCAGGAATACACAAACAAGACGTACCAGCCGATTCTAAAGCAAACAGAAACAATGTTTTTTTAAAAAGAAACATTTGAATAATCTTGATATTATGGCAAAAAATCTTTGAAGAAGCCAAGTCAACTCATAATTTATCCAAGTTTGCAAGATTTTAGAATTCTGTAATATTCCTAATAGCACATATTCCTGATATTCCTAATAGCACATAAGTATTTGCTGAAATGTTGCCATTATTTCAAATTACCTCCGAATTACAAGTATTCTCAACTTGCAACCCTTCATTTAGTGGCCCTTTAAAGTTATGAAAAGTGACAGCCAGTCCTCAAATTTATAACCATTGTTATAAACTGTGCATCCCCACAGTTACATGATCAAAATTTAGGACTTGATAACTAGCATGTATTTTAGGACAGTTGCATTTTTAAGTCATATGATCACCATTTCCAATCTTTCCAGCTCGCTTCCAACAAGCCAGATCAATGGGGAAAGCCAGATTTGCTTAATGATGTCATGATTCACTTAACTGCAATGATTCACTTAACAACCACGGCAAAAAAGATCATAAAATCAGGTAGAAATGAACCACCTTGCTTAAAAACAATACTGGTCTCAATTGTGGTTATAAATTGGGGACTACCTGTTTCAAAGAAATTAAGGCAAGGTGAAATTGGATTTTTTTGTTCTAATGTTCTAGAAATAAGCCTTTTTTGTTTCCCTTTTTATATTCACTACTTACAACCAGAAAAGATTATAATGAAAAATATGCAAATATTACATTAATAGGTTTCTCACAATTTAATGGTGGATTATTCTTTCTAATGAATGTAATAATCCAGGCTATGCTAAACAAGCTTATAAATCTGTTTTTGTAAAAGAAAACAAGTTATGCACCTGTCTAGATACCAATAGCAAAGCATTACATCTCCCACTTTGTTTCTTCTTCTCTTCCCTCAAAAGTGACAAGAAAAAAAGAAACTGATGACTAAAAGCAGTTTATGACCTTTTCCCAAATTTGCCTTATGTTTTGGTAAGAGTTTACTAATCAAAGAAGTCATTCCAGAGGATTTGTGCAAGAATACGTGATGGTTGACTTTATGCAGAAATGTTATCTCTAGAACAGGGAATTAATGTAAAACAGGAATGATCAAAAATGAGTTTCTTCCATGATAAGCAGAATAGCTAACAGTGAAGTCTCTTAATAGATCTAGTAGTTTCTTACGTAAAACTTCAAAAAGCTATTATCTTCATAGTGATGTCTCCTGTAAGGATGGTGAAAGCAGCAAATGACTCATTTATCCTCACAATATGCACCATTATCTGAAGTTTTAAGATTAGGGGAAAAGCAGGAATAGATTAAGTTGTTCTTTCATTCAATTTCCAATCTAGATTCACCTTGAGAGTACTGTCATTGTACATCATCAAATGATTGGTCATCTGATGTCAGCCCCACTAAGTAAAAATCAACTCCATAGGTAGGCTATTTTTATTGAGATATAAAATATTGCAACAAATTCTGAATTGGGGAGGTATCTGCCTGAGCTGCTTCTGGGTGTTATTTCATTGTGGACTTAATTTGCGTAGGCAATGGATATTGCATGTCTCCATCAAAGTCATCTTCCTTTCTCCCTATAGTTCAGTTAAGGAATGTCTGCATTCATCAAGGTCAGGAAAATGGCATACTAATAAAATCTGACATGTAAGTGGAGCATAGGCTCAACATCTCACCCTTTAAAGGGGAAAAATCTGGAGAAAACATCTTTGTTCAAATGGGAAGAGATAAATATCAATACAAATATAAATATTTCAAAAGGTTAAAATCCTCCTTCAAATGTAAAACCAATAGGGTTATGGACCCTTGAATTGTGAAAAATATTCAGAAACTACAGGGCTACATTTATCTATCAAAGCAACATTCTTATCCAACCAGAAAGTTCTTTGCAGCAATGACTGTTTTTGTATTTTGGCTGTCAACATATTTAAGCATATGAATAAGCAAATTTATACAGAGGCACTGAAGTATTCTGCTCAATTCATTGTAGACAAATATTTAAAGTATAGAGATGAACAGAATTTTGCTATTATGTTTATATTCTGAAGAAACTTAAATGACTATTTCTGTGATTTTTGTTTCTGCCCTTGGTCTTCTATGTATGCAACATCTTATGTGTATACTGTATGCTGTACGTGAAATATGATAAAAACATAAGGAACTAACATCTATTTTTTTAGTCAAGAGGGTTTTTGCAGTTCTTAAACTCTGCTACAATATATTTTGCTTCCCTGAATTCTTTCTGTGTCAAATGCTGCATTTTCAATTATTTTATTCAAAAAGACTATAGTATGTTTTTGGACACTTACCTGCATATACTTATCCTTAATTTGTTCACAAGTAGAAATACAATTGGATATATAAAGATGAATAAATTCTGGAGGAAGATCAACTGCTGTAGTGAGCCTGTTAAATATTTAGAAGTTAATTATTTTCAAATTGGCCATCTTTGCCGATAATCCATCTGTCACTTCAGTTGTATCATAACAGAGAGCCAGTTTGCCTAGTGGCTAAGGCATCAGCTTAGAAATCGTAACACTGAGTTCTAGTCCCTCACGAAAAGCCAGCTGGATGACCTTGGGCCAATTAGTCTCAACCTAACCCACTTCATACGATTGTTATGGGTAAAATAGGACAAAGAAGGAATATTAGATATATTCATCATCTTTAGTTATTTATAAAAATAATAAAGGCATGATACAAAAATATTTTCTAAAAAACTTTATTTTGCTGTTTTTTATTAATATATACATTGTATTCTTGTTCTATTATATTCTGTGCTTCTAAACATTCTGTTCCTTTAGCCAGAGGTTTCCAACTGGGGGTGCAAAACGATATTCCAGGGGGTGCAAAAACTTGGGTTTTCAAAATTATAGTGTATATTCATAATTCACTGCCATTATTTCGAACTTTTGTAAGGGGTGCGAGAATATATCAGAAGCGTTCTAGGGGTGCAGGGTATAGAAAAGGTCGAGAGCCACTGATTTAAGCCATTTTGGACTGCTTATTTTTGTCCACTAATTCATCTTTCACCAATTATCTTGCCCAATTTATACAAAATACATAAAAAGTGTATAGGCCCTAACAAGAGTTAATCATTCTTCATTGTACTTCATTCAGTTATAGCTAATTTATAAATAATTTCCATTATATCTCAATTTATACTGCAAGTTTATACCTAAGATAGAATACAGCTAAGATATTCTGATAGAAGAGGCAACATTTATCCTAATTTTAAAAAGATGATTGATTAGTACTCTAAACACTATCCACATGAAGCTTTTAAATTTTTCAACTAGAAGGGGAACAGTAGTTCTGAGTGATTATATACGACTGTTGCCATATTTCATTCAAAATATTGGTTATATCTTTTTTTGTTAAACTAAAGCATCTAGCATGACTAACAATACTATTATTAAATGTTATAATACATAAAATATTTAAACGGACCAAAATAACATGCTGTGGTAGAGGACACCCAGTGAATGTAATATCTATCCTTCCTCAGAATGCAGCTAAATAATAATTATTGGTTAGATTATGGATATATGAATATATTTTTCTGATTGACTCTCAAAAGCTGCTACTCATAGTTCACATCAAAATATTCCATTTAGAATGTTATCTTTCCCATCATCAAGGGAAAGGAAACTTTGCAGTCTTCAAAAGAATGAACAATTGTTTTCAGTCACACCATAAGATGCCATTATGTATCACTATAGCATGTTTGAATATTGGCTTTTTATAAACTGAATGTAGTCAAATATTACATTTGAACAGCTACTGTGTTAATCATAGTACCAAAGAGTAAATATCGCTGAAATTTATCTCAAAGAATCACCAATACAAATTGTCCTGATATAAAAATTACAGAGTAACTGTGTTTGAGTCCAATTAAATAATTGCAGTGTCTCTCATTAGAACATCACTTCCATGCAAGACTCCTTACAATTCTCTTTCCCCAATATTCTCCCTCCCATGCATATAGACAAGATCTGCTCTATCCTAATATAGCATCTGAAACTGCAATCAGAACACCAATGAAAGGATAATTATAAAGTACCTCCCATAATCACAATTAGCCATTTATACAGGAAAACAAGGATGTTACTAGAGTGGAACGTAAACTAACCTATAGTGATCATTGTCCTAATATCTCAAAGGGTCAAGGGCTTAGGGCAGTGGTGGCGAACCTATGGCACGCGTGCCAGAGACAGCACTCAGAGCCCTCTCTGTGGGCACGCACACCATGCCCCAGAGATGGCAACCATCCCTCTTCAACCAGCTGCCCACTAACTCGCCAAGGTCCCATGCATCCCAGCATAGCTGGTTTCCCTCCCCCCCCCCGTCCCATCCCTCCTGGCCGGCCTCGCATGCTCTTTTTCTGGGCACGACCCGCTGCATCGCCTCCTCAGCTGTCGGCTGGCCGTCCAGCTCAGAGGCGGCTTCTCTGAACTGCTGGCGGCGGGCTGTGGAGCCCCAGAGTGGGGTTGTGGCTGCTGACGGACACTGTCGGCCCCCATACGCTCACTGGCCTCTGTGTGCGAGGGCCAATGGTGTCAGGCAGCAGCCACCCCGGCCCCTGCCTTGCCTTGCCCTGCGACAATGGCTCCCCCACCCTACCTTGCCTTGCCTTGCCTCATCCTGCAGGATGAGCCTCCTGCCCACCGCCCCACCTGCCAGAGACCCCCTGGATCTCCCCCAACCCTGCCCGGACCCCACAGGCATCCCTCCCCACGAGCAACATCGAGGTGACCACGCCCACCTTGGCCACACCCAATCTGCCATGACCCAGCCACTCCCACCCAGTAGGCCACGCCCACCTGGCACCTGGCGATAAGTAAGTGGGTTTTGGTTTGCGATTTGGGCACTCGGTCTCTAAAAGGTTCGCCATCACTGGCTTAGGGTTTTAGATTATATTCCAAACTACAACTTATTTTCCACAGAATGTGTGAAGATCAAATTATAGATAGTCCTTGACTCACAACTATTTGTTTAGTAATCATTTGAAGTTACAATGGCACTGAAAAAAGTGACTTATGACTGGTCCTCACACTTATGCACCATCCCCCTGGTCATGTGATCAAAATTCAGATGTTTGGCAACCAGCATGTGTTCATGATGGTTGCAGTGTCTCAAGGTCATATCACCATTTGCAACTTTCCCAGCCAGCTTCCAACAAGCAATAGATTCGCTTAACAACCATGTGATTCACTTAACTGGATCAAAAAAAATCATAAAATTGGGTGCAATTTATTTAACAACTGACTTGCTTAGCAACTGAAATTCTGGTTCCAGTGATAAGTTGAGGACTACATCTACTTCACTAATACAATCATTCAAAGTATAATTTCTTCATGAGAGAAAACTGTGATGGAATTTTGCAAACTAGCTTCATATAGATGTTGAAAAATCAAACTTGTTTAATTAAATATATATAGTAATAAAAGCATTTTACTTACCGATTTACAACTTCCATTGAATGTAGAGACATGTCCATGTTGACTAATACTGAAAAGTATTCAGTTATCTGACTTGACTGCATTAATTTAAGCAGCATTTCTATAGCTACTAAAGGATTGTTTTCCACCAGATCAGGCAATTTGGCAGGAGTGAGGCCAATATGGTAAACAAGCTTAGGATCTTTCTCCAATTCTCCAAGAAGCTGCATTTTAAAAATGAAAAACAGTTTAAGTATTAACAATTAAGAGATTACCTTTCAACTTAGTTTATTTATCTAAATTACTAGTTAAAATAAAATTATAGAGAAATCACAGTAATTATTGACATCTTGTCATCCTGAATAAGGCCCACTACTGTTGTATCATCTGCGAACTTCACAATATGGTTGGTGGCAAACCTAGCACAACAGTCATGGGTCAACAGGGTGAACAGCAGCGGACTTAAGACACAGCCCTGAGGAGAACCTGTGCTCAAGAAAGAACCTGTGCTCAAGAAGAGAAAACAGCTTTAGATTGGATTGTGCCTTTACAACCTCTACCACAGTGGTTCTCAACCTGTGGGTCGGGACCCCATTTGGGGTCGATCGACCATTTCACGGGGGTTGCCAAGCAAGGCTGTCCGCCATTTTTTTTGTCCGCCATTTTTTTCCCCTTTTTCGGCGGGTGCCTTACCTCCCTTGGGCTGGGCCAGCTGGTGGTCGGCCTGCTCCGTCTCTGCCCCTTGCCAGCTACGCCTCGGCCGGCGCAGGGGGCGGAACCACGCATGTGCGGCGCTCCCGGGCAGGGAAAGCCCTCGACTTACGACCGGTTGGGTAGTCCTCGACTTACGACCGATTTAGTCCTCGACTTACGACTGGTTTAGTCCTCGATTTACGACCGGTTGGGGTCGCGGCATTAAAAAGGTTGAGAACCACTGCTCTACCATCTGATGGATCTTGTCACTCCCATGGTTTACAGAGGTGAACATTGAAAAGTGCTTTGAGTTCTCAATTTCAATAGCAAGGCAGCATATAAGTCAAGTCAAGACAATAATCTTAAAGCAGCATCTCATAGAAAGGTTATAGGGAATGTTAATTTTTACTTTTTGATGTGATTACTGAACTGTTAATCTTATATCACAATCTTGGGGTTCTAGTAAACTTGAGCTAGCTTTAATTTTGTTAAAATTAAGATATTATTTTAATAGAATTAAACAAGTCAGCAATTGACAACATACCTGCGTTTGTTGCTGTGATGACAAAGGACTTTTGAATGCTTTGGCCATGATTCGTTTGATTTCCAGTCCAGCGCTATTTTTAACACACATTGACTTATCCCACTGAATTGTATGATCTGGCTCTATTGGATTTAACCAAGCTAATTCATCTTCACAAATATGGAGTGGAGGTGGTGGGCGGATAAATTCTGGTCGAAAATGACCTGGAAAAATATATTACATTCTTTTTTAAAAATATCTCTTTTAAAATATTTACCCAGCAATCAAAATGTTCCCAAGTGTATGATCTATGCTTCTATATTTTATATATAATACATTATATTATTCTTTGTAGTTTACTTTGCAACATGTAGTATAGTGTATTAATCTATTCCAGAAACTGACAATCTCAAGCATCTAGACCAGCATATTTCTATGCTCATCTTTCTTAGCACTTATTGACTCTAATTTTATATAAAGCAGCATTTTTGCAGAGATATCCTTTATAAAACTCTCCAATGCCAATTGAGTTAGTAATAAAATAGAAATATGTCACCATGCCATTCTGCCCAACAAAACTATATTCTGGAAAATCAAAGCATAAGGAACAGAATTTAAGGCCCTACAAAAACAATTGTAACTCTAAATAAAATATAATATAATACAATATAAAATATCAATATAAACGGTAGAATATAGTACAGGTTCATGCAAAGTCAATATAGTAGCTAAGGCACTGCTCCATGTTCAACCTTAAAAGCCATAATGGAAAATATGCAACTATCTTTTCTTTATCCTCTGCTTTTCAAACTGAAGGACTACATTCATATGAACAACAGTAACTACAACCGCTATTTTCAAATATGAACATGAACAGAAATAAGGAATGGAAAATAAATGATTAATTCTTATGTTGTAATTCTATAATAAATATTCCAAAATGATGCATACTTTCAATAGGTGGTTTTGGCCCACTCACTAAGGCTTCAGTAATCTGGGATGCAACAGAGCTGTCAAACCCAGAATTTGAAGAATCTGGATCAGGATCACTGAGAATACTAGGAAAGCTAGCTTTACTTTGTGTTGGCAGCTCAGACTGACGTTCTGAAAGAAAAATTAATTCAATTTCATTTTCCCAAATCTTGAATCACAAGAACAAGAATAAACTTGTGACAAATTTACACTATTTCTGTTAATGAGAAATTAGGATTAGCTGTAAAAATTAGACACCAGGCTAGAAATCAGGAGACCATGAATTCTAGTCCCACCTTAGTCATGAAAGCCAGCTGGGTGACCTTGGGCCAGTCACTCTCTCTCAGCCCAAATCACTTCACAGGATTGTTTTGTGAGGAGGAAGGTCTGTTTGCTGCCTTGAGATACTTATAAAATAACTACAAATACAAATAAATAAATCATTTCTTCTTTAAAATCCAAAACTTTTAATCTCTAACAGCTCTTTGACCATGCTACTTTATTTTTAGAGATACAGCTGAGTTTCCAACAAGTGACTATTGGTGGACAAAATAGTTTACACAAATTATTCTGTAAATAAATACTCAGTTATTTGAATTAACAAGATGATTATCACAACGTCACTATTACTATTTTGAGCTCTATAACACTTCCTGCATGTTTGCAGAATTTTATTGTTCTCTTGTTTACGCCTCTTAAGAGATAAAAACCCTGTGGTTTCTATGAAGCAACAATGTTATTCTTAGCCTTTATACAGCATTCTTCATAGCTGAAAAGGAAACATTTTGTCTCCACATATTACATTTATAAAACATCAAATCATTCCACTACAGTTTTTAAACTTAAAATTTGGCACCTGTCCCAGAGCCAAAGTTTCTAAATATAGTGGCACCTAGGTACCCAACTGATTTGAAACTCATTAAATTTAGTACTCAAAGCATTTTGATGGAAAAATTTTGTCCCAGTACTCATCATTTGTTTGGTACTCAATGGATAAGCTAGAACTTGTCAATGTCAGTTGTCTTGTGATTCACTACATTATTCCTTATGGGAAACATTTGTTTGTTACTTATCATTTTTGGTACTCATCGCACCTTCAAGAATCAATTAATGAACAGTACTGAGGTACCACTGGCAGTTAAATGGTAACTAATTTGCTGACAGCTATAGAAAAAATCTAATATTTTTATTGTTTGGAGACAGACTTATATACCACTACTGTTTATAACAAAATTATCTTTACTTTAAAAAGGACAGACTTAGATATAAAACAAAATAAAATGCAAGCATGTGTAGTGTCGATGTTCAGGGTTAATTTTTAAGAAAGATTTTGATTGTGTCAGTTTCATTCAATATATTATTTTGAACTGTGTTTCAATAATCCCACAGAATTAATTTCTACAGTGAGAGAAAAAATTATTTAATTCCCTGCTGATTTTGTATGTTTGCCCACTGAAAAAGAAATGACAGTCTATAATTGTAATGGTAGATTTATTTTAACAGTAAGAGACAGAATAACAACAACAAAAAATCCACTGTAAATATTAAGATTAGATCACTCTTCCCAAGATACAGTGAGCAGTTACTTTTTTAAACCTCAAAAGAAAGAGAATGAATTTAGCCATCATTCTATAATGTATATTGCAAATAGCTGCTTATAGAAGGGTCCACCAAAATTAATTTACTACTGTAATGTGTGAGCTATGCTTACTGATATAAATGGCATGAAGCTACTATCCATGCCTTTCTCACACTTCTGATAAAGATTAGAAAAAATAAGCTCATGTGTTACTTACACTATATTTTCTTTAGGTGAAAAGCAAAGGTAGCCATGTTAGTCTTCAGAAAAAAAAAACATCAGAGCAATTTCCTTATTAGGTCCTCAAGGCCACAAAACAGCATGCAAATTTTCAAATTCTCTAGAGCTCTTTGAGAGCAAGAAGGTAAATAGAACAAATAAAGGGGAAAGAGTCTGATGTTCAAATAACCAGGTCCACTAAAATATCTAACTAATAATCTAAGAATCAGATTAAAAATTAAAGTTGTTCATAGTTTCATTCATCTTTATAAAAATATTATGAGAATAGATTCTAATCTCAGTATGACCATAGTACTGATTGATATGAGTTTCAAGTCAGCTTGCTACAAGAAAGAGTTTGAAAACTTCAAGTTTATAGCTAGGGTCAAGAGCTAAAAAAAAATTAATCTGATAATACAACCTCAGCATCAACTCAATTATAACTCTCTCTTCTCTAAGCAGGGAAAATAGTAAATCTCCTTTACCTTGCACTAATGAAGTATTCTATAGTCAACAATATTAGTATAAAATTTCATAAATAAGTGAGTTCTTGGGGGGGACAAGCTTGTAAGGAATATGAATTTGTGGGACTGTTTAAAAATATATATATAACTATGAACCACACAAAAGGCAATTTTAGAAGTTCTATCACAGCCCTTATACAAGCACATTGCATTTTAGAATATTTGTCATTTCAATAATAGATATTAACATAGCAAAGGCTTAGAACTTGAACCCGGATTTGCTATTCTCACGGTGCACAAATGACCCATCACATATAGAATCAATATTTCTATAAAGAAAGTTTCTAAAAGGGAATTTTTTATTTTAAGTATAGGGTGTTGGTTTTCAAATAATGACAAAACTATATATTGCTTGTGTGCTTTGTTGATTTATGAACAAAAACAGACAGCAACTCCATACCAAATTGGAAATCATTTACCTTCTAATATGTCAAAAATTATTTCTCCAAAACTATACATAATTAATATTGCAGAAACCCATATGATTAACTTCAGGCAAAACTAAAAATGTGCTATGGAGTTATGAGGAAAAAGAAAAATACAGGGAGTCCTCGACTTATGACCACAATTGAGCCCAAAATTTCTGTTGCTCAATGAGACATTAGTTAAGTGAGTTTTGCCTCATTTTACAACTTTTCTTGTCACAGTTGTTAAGTGAATCACTGTTAAGTTAGCAACATGGTCATTAAGTGAATCTGGCTTCCACATTGACTTTGCTTGTCAGAAGGTGGCAAAAGGGGATCACATGACCCTGGGATACTGCAACCATCATAAATGAGTCAGTTGCCAAGCATCCGAAATTTGAACACATGACCACGGGAATGCTGCAATGGTCTTAAGTGTGAAAAATGTCATAAGTTACATTTTTCACTGCCGTGTAACTTTGAACAGTCACCAAATGAACTGTTGTAAGTTGAGGACTCCCTATATTCACATGCAAGTTTAATCACATTTCATATTTTCATTAAAAACGTCTGTAGAAATGATTTGTTACCTGCTAATGCTAACTGAAGACCGCTTATATCTACAGATTGGCCCATATTTCCTACATCCATTGACACAATCTGTCTTGGAGTCTTTTTGAAGAGTTCTCTAGGAGGGGCCAACATCAGCTGAGAAAGGAAGAACCTTTCTGGTGGAGTAATAGGGGGCAAAAAGCCTAAAAACAAAAGAAGTTATTTTATAGTAGTAGCATTTTTCAAAGAAGTTATAGCATTTTTATTGTTGTGAGCTCAATCCAGAAAAGTATGAATTCAGTGAAATTCTTGGGGTAAAAGCAGGGAAAGGGGATTCTCACCATCCAACCATCCATCTAGAGCCGTGGTGGCAAACCTATGGCATGCGTGCCACAGGTGGCACGCAGAGCCCTCTCTGTGGGCACACACGCCCTCGCCCCAGTCCTAGGCCTTCAGCTGGGTTTTATAAAACCTTTTCGCTTTAGGCCTCCGCCGCCGGTTCAATCAATCAATCAATTTCAACTTCTTGCGGGGAAAAAAAGATCTCGCAAAGTTGGGATTGATTGAACTTTTTAGTGCCACCCAGTCTGCCATTACCACTGCAGCCACACCCACCCAATGGGCCACGCCCACCCGGCACCCGACGATACATAAGTGGGTTTTGGGTTGCAGTTTGGGCACTCGGTCTCTAAAAGGTTCGCCATCACTGATCTAGAGCCATGATGGAAGTCTGCTGACTGCCAACTGCCAAATCTCAAAGGCTCAAGATTGACTCAGATTGATTTCAAATCTCAAAGGCTCAAGATTGACTCAGCCTTCCATCCTTTCAAGATCGGTAAAATGAGGATCCAGATTGTTGGGGACAATATGCTGACTCTATAAACTGCTTAGAGAGGGCTCTAAAGCACTGTGAAGTGATATATAAGTCTTATTGCTATTGCTATCTGGTAATCCAGGTTTCCTAGGTCAGGGATCCCCAAGCCCCAGTCCGTGGACCGATACCGGGCGGCAGCATGCCAGCAACCGGTCCGCACAAACAAGCAAAGCCCCATCCATGGGATGCAGCCAGCACACAAACCCACTCTCTAGTCCGCGGAAAAACTTTTCTCCACGGAACCAGTCCCTGGTGCACAAAAGGTTGGGGACCTCTGCCCTAGGCTGTCCAAAATCTATTCAGAAAAATGTGGAAAGAGAGACACAGGCAGTGCTAAAAGTAAGGTTCTGGATTGAGGGAATTGTGAAAATACATTTTTCCTTCTGTCTTCAAGACCATCAAGTAAGCAGAGTAGAAGTGTCCATTAAGAAAATACTGAGTTAGGTTTTCACAAGCAATATCTCATTTTTTGTATAGTAAATTATACAATAACAGGAAATACGAAGCTTCTGTTCAGCTGTAAATTAAGCTAAGAGAACCTGAACCATAGAGAAGAGGTAGAAATAATGGATGGTAAAATGTAAATAAGGCAGGAAAAAGTCCACCATCATCTTTCCCAACCTGAAGAGAATGCTGCTCACATGACCATAATAATGCATATATCATTGGCTCCACAAATAAGTGTTCCTTCATATCAACAAATATAAAACATTACCTGTAGCTTCATTTATTGCCACAATTCACTGATCTTACCCATAGATAAAATCAAACTGGCAATTTGTCATTTATCTAAACCAGGGGTGTCAAACTGCCAGCCCGCGGGCCGGTTTCATCATACCGAAGCTGCACCCACCCCATTGCCGGCAGTGCAAAAAGAGCCGCAATACATCGCGACACGTCACGTGACTTGGCGAGTTTGACAACCGTGATCTAAACAAATCATTAGCTGTTATTAATCACTTTCTAGTCAACAATTACATACAAAGGACAGTGGAAATGTTACTTCCAGTATGAGACCTAATTTCCAAATGTAGTTCAAAGTCATGTTTGATATTTATGTGTATTTATGATGTTGCTGTACAAATACTTCTATTAACGAAAAGCATGCTGATTACCACAGAATACATGCTACCTATTCATCAATTGTCTACTTTCATGTTGTGCATTTTTATACCAAAACCTGTAGGTTATATAACACAGAAATGGTTAAATTAGAACAGAATAGGAATGTTTTCCAATCTTTCATCAGGTCATATTTAGCATTAAACTGGGGATCTCAGTCTCAGCAACAATCAAAGTTGGAAACTGAGATATTCGAAAAGAATTAATGAAGGATTACAGGAGAAGCAGTTATTGCAATTACATTTAAAATTATGTCACGTATCAAGAGGCAAGAGGGATATATTGAACTCCTGATAACAGAGAAATTATTCCTCTCAATCTGGTTGAGTCTTCTGAACTAGGGTTGACCACTCAGTTTAAAAGAGGGAGAAGTTGCAAAATGTTCAGATAGTACAATGTTTCTCAACCTTGACAATTTTAAGGCATGTGGACTTCAACTCCCAGAATTCCACAGCCAGCAATGCTGGCTGTGGAATTCTGGGAATTGAAGTCCACATGCCTTAAAATTGTCAAGGTTGAGAAACACTGAGATAGTACAACCCAGCCTTCAAAGAATTCATGTTGCTTCGTCCCCCATTTCAAAACAAGTTTCATCTTTTTAAGTACCATAGGAGGTCTAGGCTTTTACCGAAATGGCAAAAGGGGCCGACCCCATGGTTATTCGCCCTGGGCCAAGCGGAGGCCAGGTGAGAGAGCTACCTGACAGCGGCGGCCTTTCGTTTTCGTCCCCGCCGCCGCTCCCTGCAGTTCCGGGCCCCGAGCCGGCGGGGACGCGCTCTGGGGGCGCCGGATTCAAGAGGTGGGCGAAGATGGCGGCGAAGGGGTTTGCAGCGAGCGGCTCGGTGCGGTACATCTCCCAGAGTAGGTAGAGGGCAGTCAGGCGCTGCGGTGGTGTGGGCAGCAGATCCGGCTGCTGCAGCAGCAGCACCAGGACTGAGCCTACGCGGAAATGCTCGGCCTTTCCAAAGTAGTGGTGGAAGGCGGTAGAGAGGCCCTCAAAAGTGCTGCCTCCGGCCTCCTCAGACACGATGCTCAGCAGGCTCGTCAGTTCCTTCGGAGAAAGGCTCATCTTTCCTGGCAACGACGCGACGGTTTCACTGCTACTGCTGCTGCCGCTGCTACTATAACCGGCGACGGAAGCAGCGCCGGCCCCACCACCGGGAACTGAACCTGCCGCCGCGTCCACAACACGGCCAGGCTCGGGACTGAGACGGACCCCACTCGCTAGCATCCAGCTCCACCCTTCCCGCTCTCGGCGGCCGTCGGCGCGCGCCCGTGCACTCGACCTATCTAGCTACTCTCCCCTCATTATTTTGTTTTCTCTTCCCTGTGCGCGCGCCTCAGCGAGCCGCCACTCCGCCCCCCATTCTTTCCCCCTCCCGCGTCCCCCGTTTCCCCCCGCCCGCCGCTGCTGCCGTAAAGCGATTTGTAGCATTTGAAATGGTTACTCTTTTTCAGTACTGCCGTAAAGCCAGGAAAATAGTAGGAAGAGCATATCGATAGAACAGTGTTGCTCAACCTTGCCAAATATAAGATATATGGACTTCAACTCCCAGAAATCCCTACCCAGCTATGCTAACTGGGGATATCCGGGAGTTGAAGTCCACACATCTTAAAGTTGCCGAAGTTAAGAAACGCTGCTATATAAGAAAGAATGGAAAATAAGAGCTATTTTATTAGCTGTTTAAAGACGCCATCTCAGGAAAACAAAAGGAAGAAATTATTTTCGTTGCATGTTGATTTTAGAAATCTGGAACGAATATGTTGCTATGTTAATAGATTGGTAGTTTAATTTCCAAATTGAACTTTAAATAAAAACTCAGTCAATTTCATCTTAATATTTAGAGGTAAGACTGAAGAATATTTTTACACCTAGGCTTAGAATGTAAAATCTGTGGGTTTAGGTACCTCCCTATTTCTCATCTTGCTTGATCTTGAAAAGCTAAGCTAGGTCAGACCTGGTTAGTACTTCTTGAGGTGGCTATCAAGAAATAGACTGTAACCTATATCTGAATATTGGAGGGGGGGAACCCTAAGAAGACAACGGCAACACCTCTTCAGTACTATTGCCAGGAAATCTACATAGATGTATCTATAAAGTCACTACGGTAGAAGTCAAACGCAGTTCAAGGAGACTTTTCCCTTTATGTTATCAGGTACATTCTGTGAAGTTTAACGGAGTTTATTTCTCTGATTTCATCCAGAGTTTTTATCTTATTTTATCCATTTAATTTTAAACAAACCTGATGTATAGTTAAGCTGAGACAATTATTTTCATGGCTATCAGATCTGAATATGTTATCTACACATTTGATTTTGTGGAAGGTTTAAACTAGTTCTGTGCTCCAGTGCAAAAGTAGTTCAAATCCCATAAGCATGAAATCTGAAATTAAACAAAATTAATACTTTGGATGCCTTAAAATATACCATCTTCCTACTTTTGGGCCCTGGATGAAATATGTATCCCTTCATATCATCAGGATTTTTTTTCATAATATTTAAATGAAATTATTAAAATACAAATCACATTTGTCTGCTTAGAATGAGATAATTACAATCTTACCTAATAATCATTGTCACTATTATGATACAGAAGTCTGGATCTGATGCTTTTATATTGGATCAACCTGAAAACAATCAAAATACAAATCACATCCATCTGCTAAGTTTAACTTGGGTTACACTGCTAGAAAGAAATGAAGCAGACAAAATCAAATTAGAAAATTTGCTAATAATATGTGAAAGTGAACATGAAAATAAATGGACAATCAAAGTAGGAAATTTTTTAAAGACATTGTGAAACTAAATATAAAAATAAAGAGGGGAAATCAAAGTAGGGAAATTTTAAAAGACCTTATGAAACGGAGTATAAATTCACTGGAATGAATTATCTGGTAAATTTACTAGTCATGGACTTTTGATAGGGAAATTAACAAGAGTGTGCAGCCCAGTTGATTTAACTGCAATTCCTAGTGTAGTAATTCTGTAAATTGGGTAGATTAAATGATCTATGTCTTTTTTTTATTCTCTTTTATTTACTATTACTTACTATTTGCATTATACTGTTTAATCCCAAAGGGCATAGTGTGATATAGATTCATAAATTCTGGGTGATATAAAAGTTATAATAAATAATTATTAAGTACTATATCCCTTTTAAAATATGTTTTCAATATTTGTACTAGGATCATATTGTGTAGCTGAAGAAATTGAAATTGTCTCACATGAATTTGATCATTTTGGAGGACTATAATCTCATCCAGTATCATGTTATTGATTACCAGGACCCTGAACTATAAGTATCCTTCTTACCTACATAAGGTTTCAGTTTATTTCTTATCCTCTCTAGAGTTGTCACCAGAAAATCTCCAGGATATTTCCTGATATTTCATTTTGTGACTGAAGCATGGCAGTGACAAAATTGATTTCAAACAGAATGGCTGTCCAAAAGAAATAGTGCAATATCTACACTGTTTAAAAGGTGAATAAAGAACACATACCAATTTATAGTGTAATAAAGAAGAAGTAGACGGATATAAACCTTAATTTTGTACCTAAAATAACTGATAATATAAGAGAGGACTCAGTTTTCAAGTCCCTTAATTTTATGCAATTATGCAAATGTACACAAGTAACATTTTAAAATTAACCATAGTTTATAGGTATTTCTCTGTCCTAATCTCATGGAGACTCTGCCTTCTTCTTTTGTCAGCATCTAGATGTAAATAGTTGTATAAATACTATAAATTGCCATTTCCTAACTGATCTCAGGTTTAGATCTTACTAACCAGATAGAGCAGTGGTTCTCAACCTTTTTAATGCCGCGACCCCAACCAGTCGTAAATCGAGGACTAAACCGGTTGTAAGTCAAGGACTAAACCGGTCGTAAGTCGAGGACTAAACCGGTCGTAAGTCGAGGACTACCCAACCGGTCATAAGTCGAGGACTTTCCCTGCCCGGGAGCGCCACGCATGCGTGGTTCCACCCCCTGCGCCGGCCGAGGCATAGCTGGCAAGCGGCAGAGACGGAGCAGGCCGACCACCAGCTGGCCCAGCTCAAGGGAGGTAAGGCACCCGCCGGAAAAGGGAAAAAAAATGGCGGACAAAAAAATGGCAGACAGCCTTGCTTGGCGACCCCCATGAAATGGTCGATCGACCCCAAATGGGGTCCCGACCCACAGGTTGAGAACCACTGAGATAGAGCATCATCATTTTAAATCAATTTTACAAACAGAATAAAAAAGTTCTTTTATTTTTCTTTATATGTTATACATATATGCCACCCATCTTGCCAAGAGGTGACTCTAGGTTGCTTATAATCAGCTTTTAAATACATATAGTATAGTGTGTCCCATGCTTTAGCAGCATCCCACAATTTAAACCAGTGGTTCTCAACCTGTGGGTCGGGACCCCATTTGGGGTCGATCGACCATTTCACAGGGGTCGCCAAGCAAGGCTGTCCGCCATTTTTTTTGTCTGCCATTTTTTTCCCCTTTTCCAGCAGGTGCCTTACCTCCCTTGGGCTGGGCCAGCTGGTGGTCAGCCTGCTCCGTCTCTGCCGCTTGCCAGCTACGCCTCGGCCGGCACAGGAGGCGGAACCACGCATGCGCGGCGCTCCCGGGCAGGGAAAGTCCTCGACTTATGACCGGTTGGGTAGTCCTTGACTTACGACTGGTTTAGTCCTCGACTTACGACCGGTTTAGTCCTCGACTTACGACCGGTTGGGGTCGCGGCATTAAAAAGGTTGAGAACCACTGATTTAAACCCATAATACTACTGTTTTGCAAAAGACCAAACTCAGCAACAAACAGAAATTCTAATTGGATGCAATATGTTTCATAAAAGGAGTCATATGAAAACAGTTTTACAGAGAAAGAATGGTATCAAAACAATGGATAAGAGGATTCTATTTCATGCATTTGACCATAACATGACAGGACAAATCCCTATGTAATCAGTTCTTGGGGGGTATTAGACCTATATAGACAGAGGAAGAGCTGTGTGTCTTCTATAAAACATACTTAAAATGCATTTGTTGTTGCCAGGGAAAAAGAACATGAAAAACCCAAAGATCAGCATTAGTGTGGGGGGGAGGGGCAATGAGAAAAAGTGAGAGAAGAAGAGAAAGGAACACAGTGGGAAGATTGGGAAATAGGTGGGATATACAGCTGAGGCCACTGCTGTAAGGAACAAGTACATATGTCAACAGATGCACCCCTCAAAATCATTCAGATTTTGTTTCATCTGAATCCCAGAACAACCAAGCTCTTCTAGGTTTTGTTTTTTGTCAATCCGAAACACTTCAGAAGAATTTTCCAGGATGCAATGCTTTGTTCCTGATTCAAAAAGTCTTTGCACTCAAACATCCCAAAGATATAGTTTGATTCAGGCATAAGCTATCTGATAATAGCTGTTCAGTGCACAAAACAAGTTCACACAGAGAAATCCTTTTGTATATTCCTAAGATTGTACATGAATTGGTAATTCAATTTTACATACCGTGAATTTGCCCTGCAGAGTCTCTCTCTCTCTTTCTCTCCCTCCCTCCCTCCCCCTCCCTCTCTCTCCATTTTTTTTAAATAAATCGCTCTTCCTCCCTCCTTCCCTTCCTCTCTCTTTCTCCAAAATAGAATCTTGCGATAACAATACATAACATAATGGTTCAGAGGACTGAAAACGCATCATTCATTACCAGTACGTATTAGATTCCATTGTCCAAATTAACACTGTGTCCTATGTTCCAAGATACAGAAATGCTCTTGAAGAATATGATACTTGAAGATGCAGCAGATCACATTCTTCTCCATTACACAATCTTGCATTAATGATAAAACCAATTGTGGATATGATTTTGGGATTCAAGTGGATTTGACATAAACATCATGAAGATACAAGGCTCAGATCCAAATTTTTGCAACTTGGCAATGCCCAAGTCAATTGGACCCAAATTTTAATTGCCACTTATTTTTATTTATTTATTAAATGCATATGCTGTCCATCTCACTATCCAAAGTTGACAACCCATTTGTAATTCTAGGCAGGAAATTAGAAGCAGAAAACAACAAAATCA